TTTTATTTATTTGGGTGCCATCTCTTATTTTTCTTGTTGTCCTGGCTGAAAGTTTATAAAGTCTGTTTACCTTCTCAAAGAACCTGCTCTTGGTTTCACTGATGTTTTCTACACTGTTTTCAGTCTCTATTTTATTTATTTCCATCCTGATCTTTATTATTTCTTTCCTTTTACTCACTTTGTGCTTTTGTAGATCTTTATAATTCCTTTTGGTGTACAATTAGATAGTTTATTTGAGATTTTATCTGTTTCTTGAGGTAGGCCTGTATTGGTATAAACTTCTTTCTTAGAACTGTTTTGGCCATATCCCATAGACTTTGGGCCACTGTGTTTTTATTTTCATTTATCTTGAAGTATCTTTTGATTTCTTCCTTTATATCATTGTTAACCAATTCATTGTTTAGTAGTATGTTATTTAGTTTCCATGTGTTTAGTTTTTTTCAGCTTTCTTCTTGTAATTCATTTCTAGATTCATACCATTGTGATCAGAGAAGATGCTTGGTATGAATTCAATCTTTTTAAATTTATTGAGACTTGTTTTGTGGCCTAACATGTGGTCTATGGTGGAAAATGTTCCATGTGCACTTGAAAAAAATGTATATTCTACTGCTTTTAGGAGAAATGGTCTACAAATACCAATTAAGTTCACCTGCTTTACAGTATTATTTAAAGCCTTTGTTTCTTTGTTCATTTTCTGTCTGGATGTTTTATCTATTGATGTAATGGAGTGTTAAAGTCCCTTACTATGACAATATTACCATTGATCTCACCCATTATGTTCATCAGTTTTTGCTTTATATGGTTAGGTGTTCCTATACTGGTTCTGTAACTGTTCATGAAAGCTAATCCTCTGGTTGGATTGATTCCTTTATGATTATGAAATCCTTCCTTTTCTCTGTTATAAAGCTTATTTTGTCTGAAATAAGTATTACTACCCCAGTCTTTTATTTATCTCCATTTTCATGAAACATCTGTTTCTATCTCTTTACTTGCAGTCTGTGTGTGTCTTTCAATTTCAAGTGGGTCTCTTGTAGGCAGCACATGTAGGGGTCTTATGTTTGTATCCATTCAGTGACCTTAGGCCTTTTCATTGGAGCATTTAGTCCATTTACATTTAAAGTAATTGTTGATGAGCATTTAGATATTGCCATTTTATTAATTGCTTTCTGATTGCTTTTGTAGTTCTTCTCTGTTCAATTCTTATTCTCTTGCTCTCTTCTCTTGTATGTTGATAACTTTCTACAGTGTTGTCTTTGGATTCTTTTCTCTTTAATTCTTGTATATCTTGTAGATTTTTGGTTTGTGGTTACCATGTGATTCATATATACCAGATTATGTTTATAGCAGGTTTTTTTTAAGTTAATAGTCACTTAAGTTTGAACACATCCCAAAATCACCACAATATTTACTCATTCCATCCAAGGTTATGTTTTTGTCAGTTTTTCAGTTCTTTTTTGTATACCTGTTTACGTGTATTTCTTTTTTTTTTTAAGATTTTTATTGGGGTATTGGGGGGATGGGAACAGTGTTGGGGAATTGCGGGAAGGGGAACAGACAAGTTGCTGTCGTTTTTGTTCTTCAGTCTAGTTGTGGAGGACGCCGCTTCACTGGCCCAAGCTGGCACCATCATTGCGGGAAGGGGAACAGACAAGTTGCTGTCGTTTTTGTTCTTCAGTCTAGTTGTGGAGGACGCCGCTTCACTGGCCCAAGCTGGCACCACCACTGCACTCCTCCCCCCGGGAGAGGCATTTCAGTCACCAGCTTCTGGACGGCCGCTCACTGCGGCTGCTGGCCGCTCACGCTGGCTGCTGGCTACACACGGTAGCCCATGGCAACCCACTGCCA